CGGGCGGGGAGGCGAGGCTGCCGCCGGCCGCCCGGAGCCGCTGTCCACTGCTGAAGCGCCGGCCGAGGGCGCCGCGCTGCCCGCCTGGATGCGCCTCTACTTCTACGGGATGCACGGGATCACCCTGGACGTGCTCGTGTCCTCGGCGCGGCGCTTCGCTCGCAGCCCGGACCTCCGGATGCTGGGCTTCTCCTCGCCCTACCGCTGCCTCCTGCACTCGCTCACCCACTTCGCCCTGGAGAAGGTCTACCTGCAGCAGCGGCGCTGCCCCAGCGCCTTCGTCTTCAATTTCCTCCTGTACCCCTCGGCCCACCTGGGGCTGCAGACCCTGGCGGGACAGGCGCTGCTGCTCAGCCTGGGCGGCGGGCCGGGGGGCGCGGCGGCGCCGGGGGCGCTGGACCTGGCGCTGCAGTACGTGCTGGCTCTCTACCACTGCCAAGTGTTCCTGAAGCGCTTCCTGCGCTTGCGGTACCAGCGGCCACAGCAGCAGCAGCAGCAGCGGCGGGGCGTGCCTCCCGCCCCCCTGGGCGCCCGGACCCCTGCGGCGGCCGGTGGCCGGCGGCGACGACCCCGCGGCCCCAGAGGCGCCAGAGGAGCCCCCAGCCAGGGGCTACCGGACCTGCTCCGCTTTCTTTTCTTCGGAATGCACGGCTTTTTGGATGAGATCTTCTTCACCTTCTTCTTTAACGTGCTGGGGCGAGGGGACGGAGCAACCAGCGGCCACACGTCGCTCTGGTCCTTTTTTATGTACGGCAGCTGCAGTTTCGTGGTGGAAAAGCTCTACTTCCACCTCCACTACAGTCGCGGCTGGGGCACGTGGCAGCGGGTGCCGATTTACGTGATCTTCATCTACGCGTGGGAGTTGTCCTGGGGTCTGGGACTCCGCACCTGCGGCGCTTGTTCCTGGGACTATTCCCACTACCCGCTCAATTTCATGGGCCTCATCACCCTGATGTATTTACCTGGTTGGATATTCCTTAGCGTGTACCAGGACCTGCTTTCCAACGTGCTGTGGCGGGTGCAGTACGTACCAACTAAGACCAAAAAAAAAAAAGTCACTGATTCCCACGAATGAATGCGATTTATTTTTACACGTTTAAAACGGAATGGGTTTTTTTAGCCTTTTAATTTTTATACGTTTTACTAAACTCTTCCAACATGTTTTATTCAACATTTTAGTTTTTCTGACTATTTGGAACCTATGCATAATATAATACTTTGAAATATTACTCGAAACATAACTCAAAGTACTTAACTGGTCAATATTTTAAAACCTTTATGAACCCAAACAGCAAAACCATTATACCTTAACATTGGAAAGCTGTAGTATTCACTTATTTGGGCATTGGTGGGTGATAGCTACTATTTTATTTTATTTTATTTTATTTTATTTTTTTAGTGAACAAGTTCTTCCAATCAGAAACTAATGAGTTTTAAAAGATTTGGGGAAATTTTCTGATTTAATGATTTGTTTATTTTCTTTTTAATCCAATTTCATTTTAATTCCTTGCCGTCTTTACCAACGACTGCTGAAACTCGGTCTTGTACTCCTGAAACTACAGTTAATAACTCTTAAAGTGCCTCCGTCTAGCACACATGTGAAAAGAAATTGACAAATGTGAAAATACATCCTATAAATCGATTTTTAAATAAGAAATCTTTTCTGGCACCTCAGACAAGTGACACTGTGTTGATATTTGATCTCCATCCTGGAAATGATTACTTTCCAATGTGGGTTAGCCTTAAACCCCCAATGTGTTAACGTTGATCAGATCCTGTGTTTTCTATGGCTGTAAATTTTTGTTAATGTGCAATAATGTAAAACGTTTACCTTACATGTCCAAGGGCCAAGCAAAATTATACCACCCTCAATAGTGTTCTAACCATAAGGACTTTTTTCTACAAGGAGCTTCAAGAGTAGGAACAGTTCCTTGGAATAAAATGAACCTGAATGTTCGCCCTAATGGCGTTATGCCTAACTGTTTTCTGTGAATACAGGTATATGTTTTCAGTGTATTTCTGCCATGGCTCATTTGTAAACATTTTTCTTTTTCTTTCTGGGCCCACACAGAGTTCTTTGTCCAAGCCTGAAGTAGAAATGCGCATTATAAATCAATGATAGCTTTTTGGTGACTCATTGTTAATGTCTGGAAGCTCCAAAGTTAAATGAGATGATGTAAACCATTTTAAGAAATCGTCTCTAATCAATTAATAATGTACTTTAAGGTTGTTTGCTGTTTTTATTATATTTAGAAAAGACAAGTAGAATTGAGTATGGCTTAGCCAAGGATGACTAATAGCTTCTCAGTTTTCATTACCTAGATAATTAGGAAAACTTACAGTGTGTACAAATGAATTCTTTCCTATTCAGATTATTAGCTTGCCTATGTTATAAAAAGGGACTTCTTTCTGTTTTCAAAAAATGTTTGCTATGGCTGTAAAAACAAATATTATTTAGATTTAAGTCAGGCATAGTTCCAAGAATCTTATATTATCTTAATCCACTGTCTGAGGTTGTGAGTTAAATTATAAGTAATGCTATATAGTCAACTCCACCTATGAAATGGATCATGTCAAACTGATTATTTTAGCCCATCAAAGCTTGATTAGAAACTGTTAAAAATAAGCTAAATGTATGCAGAGTTTCACTTAAGAAAAGTGTCACTTGATGACATTTGATCACAGGTAAAAGATTTCTGAAAACCCTGGGGAGAAAAAAGTGTTAAGTATTGACACTAGAGTTAGGCAGATACTCAACAAAATATTTGTAACTCAAATGTGACACATGTGCATGAATCCGAATTACATTAGGCACCACTCCACACCACACATTCCTGTGGATACTAACCAAATTCATGACTTCTAAATACTTGCTTCGTGTATGTATTTGTCCTCATGCCCTTCACATGCTGCTTCTCAGCCCTGCTTACCTGCTTACCAGTATTCTCAGGGTCAGAAATCCATCAGGAAGCAGGAAACCCTGCTATATTTTTGTTTTGCTTTTAGTGTTAATCCTCTTTAAAGGAAAGGTCAAGGTTTTCATTCATTCAATTCATTCAAGAAATAGTTATTGAACACCTACTATTTTCCACTGCAGATACAGCAGTGACCCAACACAAAGTCTCTGTCCTGATGAAGCTCACATTCTCGTGTTTTGATTTATGTGAGATTATACTTGTTTGCAAGGCTGCTGTTTTAGTAACAGGCTATGAGAGGCAGTTGTTAGGAGGGCTCTCATCAGTCCTGTCCCTGGAATATCAATCCACATCCTTAAAACAAAAGCCCATTAACAGGCCCTCTGCTAGTTCTACAAGGAGCTGGTTCATATGTATTCAAGAAGTGATGATCCTGTCTATTAACTCAGCAACTTGCTCTAGGGCTTCTCATTCTGTGTTTACTCAACTTCTTAAAAGTGACATTTTGTTGCAACTTTGAACCTTTAAAGAAAAAGCAGAGAAAGGAAAGAACCATCAGATCAATCAATTCTGTTACTCATTAGTAATTCAGATATAGAAATGATAAGGCAATATAATAATAATTAATATTCAAGTAGTACTTACCACCTGCCAAGAACTGCTCTATTATATATATATAAAATCTTAAGTAAATGTGTATATATCCATATATCTTAAATATAAATATATCATATATATATCTTAAGTAAATACATACATATATCTTAAGATAATACATACATATCATATATGATATATATATATATATATGTATCCACACACACCCACATTTACTTAAACCTCTCACAACCCTCCTTTTACAGATGAGAACAATGAAACTGAAGCCCAAAGAAGTTAAGTGCCCAAGTCATACAGCCGTTGAGCATTTAGACTTGAATCCAAGTACGCTGGACCGCAGGGTCTGTTCTTAACATGATGCTGTCATGCCTCCGTCTACTGACTAGAGGGATTTTGGGTCTTCTGTGGATTTCACCTTACGATCTGTATTGCTCTTCCCTTCCACTATCACAGTTGCAAGGGGAGCTGTATAAAAGACAGACATTAGTAGGAAAAGCACTCATGTTGCCTTTTTATTCCATGGAAAATAACAAGGGAGCTAATACCAGACATATAAGTGACAATCAACCTAGTTCTAAACCTCAGATGATGGTCTTTATATCAAGCGGTACTCTGAAATAGAGTTCCTCATCTGAAGGCAGAGAATCTTGAGTATAAGAATAATACATCAAAAAAATGCAATATACTTCATATCATAAGCTAGAAAAAATACATATAATTATTGCTATAATTTAATATAGTACTCAGAATGAGCATCAATGTAAGAGCGAAACAGTGTCAAAATTAAATTTTTGGCAAAGACATTTATTGTGAGTTCAATTAAACACTTTAGAGTATAAGAAAATTCTTTATAGAAAAACGTGCAAGAAAAGAGTAACAAATATGGTTTTTGCTCCATGTTTAAAATGCTGAAATTTCTAACTAGAAGTGCTTTAAATTTTAAATCAATTCTATTTGGCCTCTGAATCTAAAGAGAAATACACCTTTTAAGTTTTCCATGTTAACAATAAATACTTCTGTGTTATACAAAGACCCCGATAAGGTTGATAATCCATTTCAATATTTCAGATATTTTAATGACTCAGTGTACTTAACTTTGAATACTTTATTATAAATATTTGACATTTCATGTTTCAACTTAGCAAAACACAGCTTAGTAAAATATGACCTGTCCTTTGTTGTTTAAGAAACACTTCTAGTTGGTTAATCCTACCCCTTTGAAAAAAAATTCTACTGTTTTTAAATAGTCTCCATTGACAATGTGGACCTGGTTCTGTTTAAGACGGATAGTAACAAGAGTTTTGGTATATTGCTTTGGTTCTTTTTCCACTTCCAAAATACATAAAAAAATCGATATACTTGGAAAGGAAGTTATACTCATGATACAGACTTGGAGTGGTAAATAAATCATTGTATTGT